CTGGGGTGTGGTCGTGCTGGGGTGTGGTCTTGCTGGGGTAGGGTCGTGCTGGGGTCGGGTCGTGCTGGGGTGTGGTCGTGCTGGGTATGGTCGTGCTGGGGTGGGGTCGTGCTGGGGTGGGGTCGTGCTGGGGTCTGGTCGTGCTGGGGTGTGGTCGTGCTGGGGTATGGTCGTGCTAGGGTGGGGTCGTGCATTTCGCTCGAGACATCCTGCCAAAATTCCAGGAAATCGTACAAAAACAAACAAATTAGTCGAAACATCATCGAAATTCCTTCGCGCGGGGCGCTTTTCCGCGTCGCGGTCGGCTCTGCAAAACAAGCGTTTCGCTCGAGACATCCTCGGCAAACTCTGCGGAGCAAGCGTTTCGCTCGAGACATCCTCAACACACGAAAAAGTGTCCCGCACCCTGACAATCAAAAACAATAAGAAAACCTTACAATGGAAAACAATAACAAAAAAGACAATTAAAAACAATAAGAAAACGTCTTGGGACCACGATCCCTGTGAGGGTTCCAAAAAATCCCCAAAAATCAAAAAAATCAAATAAAACCTGTGAGGGTTCCAAAAAATCAAAAAATCAATAGTTTTCGGGTCTTCGAACTCCCTCCGGCCCCCTCCCAGCCCGTCCCAGGCAGCCTGGAGACCCGAAAACCATTGATTTTTTGTTTTTTTGGAACCCTCACAGGTTTTATTGGATTTTTGTTTGGATTTTTTTTTTTTTTTTTTTTTTTTTTTTTTTTTTTTTTTTTTTTTTTTTTTTTTTTTTTTTTTTTTTTTTTTTTGATTTTTTGGGTTTTTTGGAACCCTCACAGGGATCGTGATTCCAAGACGTTTTCTTATTGTTTTTCATTGTCTTTCTTGTTATTGTTTTCCTTTGTAAGGTTTTCTTATCGTTTTTGATTGTATGGTTCTCTTATTGCTTTTGATTGTGTTGATTTCTTATTGCTTTTGATTGTGTTGATTTCTTATTGTTTTTGATTGTGAGGGTTTCTTATTGTTTTCCATTGTAAGGTTTTCTTATTGCTTTCCATTGTAATGTTTTCTTATGTTTTCGTTTGTACGGTTTTCTTATTGTTGTTAATTGTAATATTTTCTTATTGTTTTTGATTGTATGGTTTTCTTATTGTTTTTGGTTGTGTTGGTTTCTGATTCCCCACCCGACAGGCTGGGGTCGTTAGATTTTCAGGACAGACCTCCCGGCCACCCCCACCCTGCATACCGCGGCCGCCAGACCTCAGATTGTCCCGAGTATCCCTGGTTATCCCGCCCCCCCGCGCCTTCGACGAACATGACAGACATGAACAGAACAGATCACGACAGAACAGAGCAGGACATACACATAAAATAACAGAGCATGGCAGAACAGAGCACGACCGAACAGAGCACGACAGAGCAGAGCATGACACAACAGAGCATGCCACAACATAAAATGCTTGTTCCCACCCGACAGGCTGGGGCCCGCCAGTGACAGTTCTGCGCTAGAACACTTCTATGTCGTTGTATGGCATCGCCGTTTTGCGTCATATGATGTCATATCGATTCGCGGGGGTCCCCTAACGCACCGATGCCTAGTAGTAGTAGTAGTAGTAGTAGTAGTAGTAGTAGTAGTAGTAGTAGTAGCAGTCGTAGTAATAGTAGTAGTAGTAGTAGTAGTAGTAGTGGTAGTAGTAGTAGTAGTAGTAGTAGTAGTAGTAGTAGTAGTCGTAGTAGTAGTAGTAGTAGTAGTAGTAGTAGTAGTAGTAGTAGTAGCAGTAGTAGTAGTAGCAGTAGTAGTAGTAGTAATAGTAGTAGTAGTAGTAGTAGTAGTAGTAGTAGTAGTAGTAGTAGTAGTAGTAAGGTAGTAGTAGTAGTCGTCGTAATCCGTAGTAGTAGTATTTATAGTAGTTTAGTAGTAGTAGTAGTAATAGTAAAAAAAAACGTAGTCGTAGTATTGTAGTAGTAGTAGTAGAGTAGTAGTTAGTAGTAGTAGTAAGTTGTTGAGTAGTTAGTAGTTCGAGTAAAGTAGTAGTTAGAGTAGGTAGTAGTAGTGGGTGTAATATTAGTGGTGATATTAGTAGTAGTAGTAAGTAGTAGTATTAGTAATTATAGTAGTGTGGTAGTAGTGTAGTAGTCCGTGGTCGTAGTAGTAGTAGTAGTTGTAGTACTAGTAGTCGTAGTATAGTAAGTAGTAAGTAGTAGTAGTATTGAGTATATTATAGTAGTCGTAGTAGTAGGTAGTAGTAGTAAGTAGTAAGTAAAGTAGTAGTAGTAAGTAAGTAAGTAGTAGTAGTAAGTAGTAGTAGTAAGTAGTATTAGTATTAGTAGTAGTAATAGTATTTAGTAGGAGTAGTAGTAGGTAGTATATGCAGCAACAGCAGCAAGCAGCACAGCCTTCAGCCATCAGCAGCAGCAGCAGGAGTAGTAGCAGTAATCGTATAAGTAGTAGGAGTAGTAGTAGTATAGTAGTAGTAGTATGTAGTATTAGTAGTACAGTAGTAGTATAGGCAGTAGTAGTAGTAGTGAGTAAATAAAGTAGTAAGTAGTTATAAGTAGTAGTAGTAGTAGTAGTAGTCGTAGTAGTAATAGTAATAGTAGTAAGTAGTAGTAGTAAGTAGTAGTAGTAGTAGTAGTAGTAGTAGTAGTAGTAGTAGTAGTAGTACTAGTAGTCGTAATCGTAGTAGTAGTAGTAGTAGTAGTAGTAGTGGTAGTAGTAGTAGTAGTAGTAGTAGTAGTAGTAGTAGTAGTAGTAGCAGCAACAGCAGCAGCAGCAGCCAGCAGCAGCAGCAGCAGGAGTAGTAGTAGTAGTAATCGTAGTAGTAGTAGTAGTAGTAGTAGTAGTAGTAGTAGTAGTAGTAGTAGTAGTAGTAGTAGTAATAGGAGGAGGAGGGCGAGGAGGAGGGCGAGGAGGAGGACGAGAGAGTTACGGAGATACGGATATGGCGACTGTGTCGGTTACTCACATGTGCTGACGGGTATCGCGCCTGGCCTTCTCGGCTTTGCTGCACGCCTTAGGCCAAACTCACCTGTGAATGCTACGGATATAATCTCTACGATGACCAATGCTTTTGGCAACCATCTGTTGGGCTGCACAACTCCCGCAAATCGCACAACACCAAATCGCCAACGCAGCGTGAACCTTTCAGATGCTGACTGCTGTGTGCCCAGCAGATATGCACCCGACACCCGCTAGGAGGTTCATATAATACGCCATCGATTGAACACATATTAAAGCACGGTGAGGCTATCCGGGCCTTCTCGGCTGCCTGGGAGGTCGATCCCTTACGCTGCGAACGCGAATTTCCTTGCTCGGGCAGCCTGTGCGCAATGGAACAGATAGGACACTTGCTAGGAACACGCGGCCTGGGCCCAGGGTCCCTGACACGGGCTCTCTGAGGTTCTTCCTCGAGGAGGCGAAGGAGGAGGAGCAGGAGCAGGAGGAGGAGGGGGAGCAGGAGTAGGAGGAGCAGGAGGAGAACAAGGGCACTGGCCAGCACGGCAAGGGCGGACAAAGAAGGTACAACCAATCCAACCAGAGTGAAACGATATCTGCAACACTACGTCGAGAGACCACGGTGAGAGCGACGGCATGAGGAAGAGCGGGAGGAGGAGGAGGAGAAAGAGGAGGAGGAGGAGGAGAAGGAGGTGGAGGAGGAGACGGAGGAGGAGGAGGAGAGAAGGAGGAGGATGGGGAAGGAACTAAGGAAGGGGAGGATGAGGAGGGGGAGGAGGATCGACCGTAGCTGAGGCGCAGCCAACTCTCCGACCCCAGCAGACAGTAGCGTGCAAGGCTGCGGCGGATGAGGATGCTGCTGCTGCTGCTGCTGCTAATGACGATGATGATGATGATGATGATGATGCTGATGATGATGATGATGATGATGATGATGTTGATGTTGCGGACGATGCTGATGATGCTGACGATGGTGATGATGATGCTGCTGATGATGATGGGGGTGATTCAGATGATGCTGCTGTTGTTGGTGATTAAAATGAGGATACGGCTGATGAGGATGATGATTATGGTGAGGATGATGCTGCTGCTGCTGATGACGATCAATAGCTGCTGCTGCTGCTGATGCTGATGCTGATGCTGATAACCATGATTATGCTGCTGATGATGCTGTTAATGACGATTATGATGCTGACGATGGTGATGATGACGATGACGACGATGATGCTGATGATGATTCTGATGATGCGGATGACGATGCTGATGATGATGATGATGATGCTGGCGATGACGATGAATCTGCCGATGCTGATGATGTTGACTATGATGCTGCTGCTGCTGAAGATGATGTTGATGATGATGCTGCTGCTGATGCTCATGCTTGTGATGACGATGCTGCTGATGATGATCAATATGATGATTATGATGATGCTGCTGCTGATGATGCTGATGACGATGCTGATGATGATAATGATGCTGGCGATGACGATGAATCTGCCGATGCTGATGATGTTGACTATGATGCTGCTGCTGCTGCTGCTGCTGCTGAATCTGATGTTGCTGATGATGCTGCTGCTGATGCTCATGCTTGTGATGACGATGCTGCTGATGATGATCAATCTGATGATTCTGATGATGCTGCTGATGGTGCTGATGATGATGATGATGATGATGATGATGATGATGACGGCACTGATGATGCTGATGATGAGGAGGATAATGATGATGCTGCTGATGAGGACGATGATGCTGGTGCTGATAATGATGATGCTGATGATGCTGCTGCTGATGATGCTGATGCTGATTCTGATGCTTGATGATGATGGTGATGATGAGGAGGAGAAGGGGGCGGAGGAGGAGGAGGAGGAGGAGGAGGAGGAGGAGAAGGAGGAGGAGGAGGAGGAGGACGAGGACGAGGAGGAGGAGCACGAGGAGGCGGAGGAGGAGGAGGAGGAGGAGGAGGAGGAGGAGGAGGAGGAGGAGGAGGAGGAGGAGGAGGGGAGAAGGATGGGAAGGAGAAGGAGGAGGGGAAGGTGGAGGAGGGAGGGGACAGAGGAGGAGAAAGGAAGGAGGGTGTTCGAGCCCAGCAATCTGGTCTCGCTGGCGGCGCGAGGGGGGCCGCGCGGCCTTGCCCCTCTGGTCAGGGCGCGAACCGCGCTGTCGCCGCCTGCGGACCAGCGTCGCGGGGCACTCCTTCTGTCAACTGCCACCGCTGGCAAAAGTTGCTGCTGCTGCCGCTGCTGCCCCTCCTCGCCCCTACTGCTGCTCCTCCTGCCTCCCTTCGCGGGGCCCCCTAAACCGGGACATTGCCAACCAGGGCTTGGGGAAGCCCGCCTGGAGATAATGAGGAGAGGAGTACAACTTAGCCGACCCGATACGCAACACGAAACCCGTGCGTGTCGACACGGAGCTCAACACGCAGATTGAAAACGTATGTCTGGCGCGGCACGTTCGCAATCACGTGGGCCAACACGTGGAGCCAGCACGCGACGTGTTAGCACGTACGTTTGGAACACGGTACGTGTGGCGTGTCAAAAGGGGCGTATCCGGGCAGCTCAGGTGGAGAATACTTCGACCCACGGCTGCAGTTTTCTCGGCTGCGCTCGAAGTCCCCTCTCAGGGGGCCCCGACCTCCTCCAGACAACAACAGCCTTCAGAGGTCCGCGTGGACTTGTCGGACCGGCGCTGGATCCCCTCGGCGGCGTCTCTGGCCTCCTCCCCTGGAGAGAAGAAAGAAACCAGCACGAACATTACCTTTCCGATCACCGCGCGGATTTCTCGGACCAGCGCTGGACTCCCTGGCGGCGCCTCTGGCCTGCTCCTCTAGAGACGGAACATCTCTGCGTAGGCATTGGGTTTCCGAAGTCCACGCAGATTTCTTGGACCAGCGCTGGACCCCCCGGCGGTGCCTCTGGCACTGCCTGTGGCGCGCTTCGCGCGCCATGGAGGAAGGCCATCGCCGATTCAATAAATCCGCTCAGGCCTCCGAACATACCGGGATCCAGCGCCGATCCAATAGATCCGCGTGGGCCTCCGAAAGTTTCGCCCAAGGCTGTTGTTTTCTTTGTCGACTCCTGCCCCTCCTGCCCCTGCTGCTGCTGCTGCTGCTGCTGATCCTTCCTTCTTTTTCCCAACCCTCCTTGGTTGGGTATTCATTTTGAATACAACACTGCGGTCGCGTCCTCCTCCTGCCTTCTCTTCGCCGTCGCTGGGGGGCTGCGATCTGCAAAACTGTCGCCACTTTCGAGGGCTGCTGGTGGGTCCAGCGGAGTGAGGCACCGCGCGGACCTGAGGTAGACCTCGCCGTCCCTGCGAAACTGTCGCCACTTTCGAAAGCTGCTGGTGGGTCCAGCGGAGTGAGGCACCGCGCAGACCTGAGGTAGACCTCGCCGACCCTGGGGGGCTGCGATCTGCGAAACTGACGCCACTTTCGATGGCTGCTGGTGGATCCAGCGGAGTGAGGCACCGCGCAGACCTGAGCGAGACCTCTCCGTCCCTGGGGGGCTGCGATCTGCGAAACTGTCGCCTCTTTCGAGGGCTGCTGGTGGAATCCAGCGAGTGAGGCACCGCGCAGACCTCTGAGCGAGACCTCTCCGTCCCTGGGGGGCTGCGATCTGCGAAAACTGTCGCCTCTTTCGAGGGCTGCGTGGCGGCGGCCACTTTTCGGAGGACTGCTTGGTGGGTCCAGCGGATGGAGGCCTGCGCGGACCTGAGCGGGACCTCGTCGTCCCATGGGCGGCCATAGTCATGTTGCTGCTTGCCCCGCCGACGTTTCAAGGCCCTTGCGGCCCTCAGTCTCCTTGGACTTTGCGTCTTCCTATTGACTCAGGGGGTTCACTTAGTTATTCCATCGTTTTTCAACTTGATTGGGGACCTGCGAACCTTCCGAGTCCGCTGCAGAAGTATATGCGTTCATGTCACCCATGTCGCGTCGCCGCCTTCTTCGTCCAATCTCCCAAGCTACTCCTGCCTCCGCATTTGCAGGGGTTGGGTAAACGTCCGCCGGGTAATTCATGCCACGCTGAGCAATATCAGCGGACAGCGTGGCGGGGGGGGGGGGGATTCGATCGAGAACCAGCAGCGGAACCGATTGCCGAACCGAATCCGCTCTTGCAGTATCCCGAGAAGGACGCAGCAACGCGGCATCGACGCCAGCGCCACCACCGACCAACCGACCCGATCGAATGCAACCGACTGCGACGCAACCGGAACCGACCGAACCGTAAGCACCCCTGCTCCTCCTCCTTCTGTTCCGTCCCGTGCTGCTGCTGCTCCTCCTCCTCCTCCTCTTCCTCCTCCTCCTCCTCCTCCTCCTCCTCCTCCTCCTCCTCCTCCTCCTACATACGCCTCCTCCTTCTCCTCCTCCTCCTCCTCCTCCTTCTCCTACGCCTCCTCCTCCTACGCCTCCTCCTCCTACGCCTCGTTCTCCTCCTCCTCCTCCGCCTCCTCCTCCTAAGCCCTACGCCCCCTTCTCCTCCTCCTTCTGTTCCGTCCCGTGGCTGCTCCTGCTCCTCCTCCTCCTCCTCCTCCTCCTCCTCCTCCTCCTCCTACTCGGGGGCGGCCATGAGGGGGGCGTCCAAGAGGGGGGGGGGGCACAAATCATGGCCAGCGGCATGTGCCCGGCCCAGGGGGGGCTGGGGGCGTGTTGAAATAAGAAGAGGCGCCATGAAATCTGGGGAGATATCATGACCCCCTGCCATGATATCCACACCCCCTAGTCATCACCCCCCTCTTGGCCGCTGCCGACCTACGCCTCCTTCCTGCTCCCCTGCTGGGTCAGCACGGAGGAGGGGAGAGGGGAACGGGAGACGCGAAGCCTTGCCTGGCAACGCGGCAGAAACCCAAGAGACTACGAGGCAGGAGAACGACGAGCGAGGGAAGAAGCCTGTAAACGTTGGGCTGGGTGGTCACGTTTGGAGTCCCGAAACGGTGCGGTGACAGACCGTGGGGTGATCTCGAAATCCCCCAAGACCTCACCGCACGGTCCGTCACCGCACGGTCTTGGGACCCCAGAGGCCCCTGTCGCCCGAGACATCCTCGGAGAAAGACCCGAGTCCCAAAACCGTGCGGTGACACCGAATCCCCACCGACTCACCGCACGGTGTGGTCACCACCTTGTTTGGGGGTCCCCGATCACGGTCACTGGAAAGAGGGACAGTGGGGATCGAGAACACTTGCTACTGCTTCCTCCTCCTCCTCCTCCTCCTCCTCCTCCTCCTCCTCCTCCTCCTCCTACTGCTCCTCTCCTCCTCCTCCTCTATAGCACCCTCCCCCTGCTACTCCGCCCCCGTCTGCTAACATTGCTGCTCCCTTGTTCCTCGACGTTCTTGCCCCCCTCTTGCTGCTGCAACAGCGACTGTTTCCACAGCTGGTGCTATTACTGTCTCTTCATCTCCTCCTCCCCGCTCCTCTTCCTCCTTCTGCTCCGCATCCTGCTGCTCCTCCTCCCTCTCGCCCCTGCTTGCTCCGCCCCACCCTTCTCTCAATATCGGCCCCCAGACCTGCCCTGGGCTGCGTTCTGACCAGAAGCTCGAGGATAGTCTGGCCGTCGCGACGAGCAGTCCCCAGGAGGCCCAACAGGGAGGAAGATCGCAAACATACCTCAGCCCTCGAGATTCGATCGTCGAATTCTTGAGGATCGAAGCTTTCTCCTCGAACTGCGATCCGTACGCGAAAAGCGCCACTTTCCATCCTTCTGTTGCATCCTCGGAGGGCCTTGTCTGTCCCATCGCGGCCCCATCCGCGTCGAATCCACGCCAAATCCGCGTCGAGTCCGCGTCGGGCACAAGAGAATACCCACATTTTTGGGACAGGCGAGGTCCCCCGAATTTGCAGCGTAACCATCCCTCCTCCTCGTGCTCGCCTGGGCCCTGCATCAGCAAGCGTACCTCCAGCGCAACCCGCTCTGCCTGTCGCCGACGTCGCTCCTCGGCCGCCGCGTCGGCGGCGCGGCCTATCTCCTCCTGGAGGGGAGGAGCAGCATCCCCAGGCCCTGGGAAGCAGGGGCAGCAGCCTCCAACTCTCGTCGTAGTCCTGGTCGTCCTTCTCCTCCTGCTCCCTCTGCTGCTGCTGCTGCTGCTGCTCTTCCTCCTCCACTTCCTCCTCTTCTTCCTCCACCACCTCCTCCTCCTTCTCCTCCTCCTCCTCCTCCTTCTCCTCCTCCTCCTTCCCCTTCCCCTTCCCCTTCCCCTTTCAATACTCCTCATTTGCTTTCTTCTCGTTGCCATGTCCGTCGTCTCTACCTGCTCTTTTTCGCTCGCTGTCGTTGTCACCATGCACGGCACCGTCCTCCCCCGCCTCCTTGTCTCCCGCGGGCTCCTCCTCCGTCTGCTCGTTCCTCCCATCTCCTTCCCCTTCAAGGAAAATCCGCGGACTCTTGAGGGGGCTACTCTCGGGTCCACGGGGGGCATTGTACGATTTCTTGGAACTGTCTGGGGCCAATGGCTGTGGGCCTGGGGGCCCCGGGGACACGTGTCAGAGAGCGTGCCAGGGAACGTGACCAGGGATTTGGGCCGCAGTGGGTTCGTCTTGGGGGCCTCCTGGGTTGTCTTGGGGCCCTCTTCGGCCTCTCTCGGCCCTCTTGAGGGGGTTTTGGGGCCATCTTGGGACTGCTTGGGCCATCTTTGGAATCTCTTGGGTCATCATGAGCCCCTCCTGGGGCGTCTTGGGGCTCGCTGGAGCCGTCTCGGGCCCCTCTTCGGGCCCACTTGGGGTTCTCATGGGGTCCTCGTGATCCCTGGGGCTTCTTAGGCCGTCTTGGACGCTCCGGGGACGGGAAAGGCCAGCGTACGAACATCATACCACAACTAATAGAACACCCGCAATCTGCGCATGCTGGGGGCCTCTTGGGAGTGCTCTCGGAGCGCTCTTGGGCCGTCGTTGGATGCTCCCGGGCCGCGCATTGGGCCCATTCGGGGGCCCTGCAGACCTCTTGGGGAGCACCTTGGGAGGCTGTGGAGCCTCCCGCTGAACTCCCAGGGAGGAGGCGGCCGGAGATGTACAGGGAAAGGCCCTGCGCGAGGCCCTGGGCCTGGGACCTCCCATATAAAACATGTATGCTTGAGTGTACGAGGGCTCCCAACTTCGCGCTTCGCGCTGCGCGAAGCGAAGTGCGAATAACTTCGCGCTCTCGCGCCGCCTCCCAGTGGAGAAGAGGAGGATGAGGAAGAATCGGAGCCGAACCGCGAAGCGCGAAGCGAGAATAACTTCGCGCCCTCGAGCGCGCCCTTGAGTGTAGTTATTTCCTCGTACCCAACCGAGCGAACCGAAGCCCGTGGCGTTTTTTCCCCAAGCCGACCTTGCCGAAGGGGCCCTCGCTCCTGCTGGTCCCCGCGGCGGTTGGGATGGTCCACGCGGCTTGGGGATCCCGCTATGCAGTGCCATGCCAGACTTTGCCATGCAATGCTGCTAAACGTTGCGCAATGCTGTGCCGCATGACGCCATGGTATTATATACATCGATATGCTGTATACTGCAATGCAATGCAATGTCATGGTGTACCCTGCGATACACAATGCTGCTGCCTGCGTGCCATACACCGATATGTCGATACATGCAAGGCTATGTGATGTTTTGCAACGCAATGTAATGTAATGCCATGCTGTGCGCTACTATCTACTGATCCGTCACGAAATGACATACACATCTATGCGATGCTGGGCTATCTCATGCGCTGCCGTACGCTGTATTAATGCGAGTTGTCCTGCTACACCAAGATCTAGTATGTCATGCTATGCAATGTCACGGTATCTGGTGCTATGCCGTCCCACACAATGCTTTGTATTCCATTGCTTCGAGTTGTGCTGCGTTCCATTGCGTTGCATACGTTTGCTTTTCAAGAGCAGAATGCCCCTGCCTGGCGATACTTCGGGTTGTGCAGGGCGCATGCCATCTAGGCACACATAACCTGGGCCGAATGCTCTGGGGTCAATTTCATGCGCCAGCGCCGCGTGTTGATCATGATGCGGATGATGATGCTGCAGGTGCTGCTGGGGATACGAGCCAAATGAAGGGATTCTAGCTTCGCACTGTCGCTGCGCCGCCTTGGACGCACGATCGTCAGACTAAGTCACTGTGCGACCTGCAAAACAGAAAGCGCACCAGCCAGCACGATGCAAATGTTGGTCGGCGGCCGCGAGAAGTCAAGCAGTGTGCGAGCGACGGCGGGATGCAACCGAGGCGAATTGGGGCACGGGGGACAATGGGGAGGCGCATCCTGCAAGCATCAGGACGCTAGAAACCAGCAGCGTGCTGACAAGGTAGGCACGTGCAACTACCGAGCGTAGCGTCAGGCAGAGCCTGCGCAGAAGGCACCCGTAGACGGGCACCTCAGACGACGGCTAACAGCCAACGCAGAAGTGTCGCGCCGCCAAGAAAAAGTCCGCCAACAATATACCTGCAAACCAATAACATGCGACAGTGGTGACAACGACGAGGTGATGACGACGACAATGATAGTGATAATGACGATGAAGATGAAGATGAAGAAGAAGAAGATGATGATGATGATGATGATGATGATGGTGATTTCCCTGTTGCTGTAACTGGTGACGACTGGTGATGGTACGACGGCGACGATCGAACGCCAACAAATGGGGTGAACACGGTTCAACGCACGCCATCGCACAAGAGCCACGGTGACACCAACGCTTGGCTATGTAAACGATCTCCGAACAAACATGCTCTTCACATTGATCTGCGCTCGTAGTGCAGCAACGCCCGTCTGTAAAAGGCTCGAGACAATCGTACCACCGCTCGATGGTAGCTTGCAATGCGGTCGATCTGTCCTGGTTTGGCCGGCTTCGGAAGCACGGCACCAAAAACCCTTGCCATCTGTTGGAGAACGGACTTTCACTTCCGCCGGCTTCCGCTGGCGGAGCCGCTCCCGTCATACATCCGCCGGCTTTCGCCGCAATCCGCCGAGGCAGTGACGTCAACTCCTCTGGTTCTCCAAGGCGAGGCCCTTTCTGGATCGCCATCTTGAGACATCTGGGCATTCTCATAGTCCAGCAGGGGCAGAAATCGGGCCACTGCTGTGATTCTCGATCTGTCTGCTACTTGGCTCGCTGTCCGACTCCAACAGCCCATTGCACATATTGCGCAATTCCAGCAGCAATGCTCAGCGGAAGCAGCGCGTTTTGCACCTCTTGGAAGTACCGAGCAAGGGGTGAAAGGAAAGGGAGGGGGACAAGAGGAACGGAGAAGGGCGGGAACAACAAATGCTTCATATCTTGTCTGTTCGGCTTGCAGCAATTTTGCAACGACTGGTCTTAACCTGCGAAATGGAACAGTCCGGCACACGCCGTTGTGCAACTTGGCCGAAACTGCAAGCCAGAAGTATCATGAGAAATGGTATATCCGTATGGAAATGTGCAGAGTCGTGTGCATGTCGAGAAAGAAAGCTCGTTCTCAGAGAAGCCGCGCTCGGTCTTCCCTTTACCGACCTGCTCTCTCAACGCGGCGCAACCCAAGATGCAGAAACAACTCCTCGGTGTTGTTGTGTACAGGGCGTCAACAAGATGATGACACACCTCACATGCATCGAGGTCTTGCTACAGCTGGCCCTTCTCACAATTCCAGCGCGCGTCCCTCGTCGGCTACTGGATCTCGCTGTAGACGGCTAGCCAGTATGCAACCCAGAGGAATGTGTACTCATGCTGCTTCGTCGCCGTGGACCACATCACATTCGCAGCATGAGAAGTCGAGTCGAACATCCCCTTCGCCGCCTGCGCCTCGCCGTCGTGGCTGGTCCAGATTGCTATTGACGCCAGGTGATGGGACATGACTGACCCACTTGAACGCCCTGGGTGTGCAAATGGTGGCAGGCGCCATAGCTTCAAATTCTATTGGTATATCTGGCGTGACCGGTCCACAAGACTAGGTCCTTGGGCACGGAACAGCCCTCCGTAGAACCTGACACTCTGGACCAGTCAGGGTCAGAGTTGACACGGGGAGCAAGGAGGAGAAGCGGGCGCAAGGTGGGAGGACAGAGGAGGGGGGGCGGATGAGGGAAATCATTTGCGAGAGGAGGATCGGAGGAGAGAAAGGGAGGATAATCAGGGTGGTGAAGGGGAGGAGGGAAAAGGATGATACCTAGGAGAGAGAGAGAGAGAGACAGGGAGAAAGAGAGAGAGGGGACGTTAGTGACGAACACGACGACGACGATGACGATGATGATGATGATGATGATGATGATGATGATGATGATGATGATGATGATGATGATGATAATCATGATGATGATGATGATGATGATGATGATGATGATGATGATGATGATGTTGATGATGATGATGATGATGGTGATGACGATGGTGATGAGGATCATGGTCATGATCATGATCATCATCTTGGTGATGGTGATGCTGCGGATTATGAGGTTGAAGATGAGAGTTATCATGATGGCGATTAGGATGGTGGTCTTGCTGTCCATGGGAACCATTCGCGGGCTTGATGACCCCCGTCCGATAATGACGTGGAGACTGGCCCATCGCAACGCAACCCGCTTGCGCTCAACAGCTCAGGAACCCATGAGTTTGCATGTCGCACAGGCGCAGAATGCTACAAAGGAGAAGACAATACAGAACGATCCTCCTCCCCCCGCACGCCTCAGCCAGCAGGTTGGCGCTGCGGGGCACTGCTGCGCTGTTCCTGGAGCCAGTGGCCCGCCTGCGCTCCCACGATGAGGGGAAACGTAAGGGGGGACTCTTGGGCCGTCTACGAGCCTTCTTGGGCCATCTGGGCGCTCTCCTGGGGCACTCTTGGATCGTGCAGGGGCGATCTGGGTCATCCTGGGCCGTTGTAGGCCCGAAGTGGCGGGAATAGGATAACCCTCGAAACCTTCGGAAAACGCAAGAAATATTGCCTCTTGGCGCCGTCTACGCGGTCCTCGGGGGCCGTCTCTGAAGCCTTTTTGGGCCGTCATGGGGCTCCGGTCGGGTCGGCTTCGGCCCTCTTGGGCGTCTGTGAGGCCGTCTTTGGGCGATCTGGGGTCCTGGAGCCGTCGGCGAGCGCTCCATGGGCCTCCTGGGGCCGTCGAGGAGCGCCCCGGAGGCTCTCTGGGCGGCCCGCGGGCTCTCTGGGCGGCCGGGGGCGCTGCCACTGCTTCTCGTACTCGCACGCGCTTCGCCCGGAATTGTAGTACAGACGGTGCTGAGCATGGTCGCAGTTGGTAAAGTGGGGTAACGCGATGGGAGACATGATGTAGATTCGGGTGAATGTGGAGATGGGGGAAGGGACGAAGAGCAGGAGTGTGACGATAAGGAGAAGGAGACGGCGGATATTGATGATGAGGAAGGGGAGGAGGAAGACGAATATCATGATAACGGGGAACAGAACGAAGAGGGGATTTGAGGGGCAGCGGCGAGAGGCCCCCGACAGCAAATTCCCAGGCTCCTGGGCGGGGTGGGCTATCGGGCCCCTATCGGCGATGAGTTGGCGATTAGGGGCTGATGCATCCCACCCTTGGCCTGCCCCTCCCTCACACTGCCCCTGAGGAGGAGGGGTTGGCCGTGGGCACTTTTCGGAAGGCCGGCCCTCTCCTCCGCCAAGCTCGCCGCGGCCTCCAGCGCGGAGATCCGCTGCAGCACCTCTGCCGCAGCAAGAAAGGATTGCCAACCTTACTCGCCAGTCCTCGTCCTTCTGCTACCATTTCCCCTCGCGTTTCCTTCTTTGAGGGGAAACGTTAAGGAGGGACTGGCTCAGGGGGGGGACATCGACCTGGCATCGGCCAAACATTGCCGATATATCGGCGGCAAGTTCCCGATAGCGAACCCCCATGCTCGGTTTGGGTTATCAGCCACCAACCGGTGATGAATGGGCGATCGGGGGTCGATGCGTTCCCCCCTGAACCTATCCCCCCGAACGTTGCCTCTGATTCTTCTGATCCCATTTCCCCTCGCGTTTCCTTCTGTGCATCCAGCGCAAAATGCTGTACAGACAGCAGCAAAGAGCCGCGGGGCAAATCTGCCGCCGTGCAGTCCCGCCGAGTAGATTGTCCTCACGTCCCGTCGGGTTCTCCCCCTCTCTCTGTTGAATATTGGGGCCCAGAACGGCTGTTCACGGGCTCCCTTGGGATCTTCTTGGTCGGGAGTCTATGGTCGGGACTCTACGCCTGGGACCTTCTTGGTCGCTTCTTCGGCCGCCTTGGAAGCCTTGGGGTCTTACCCAAGAGGCGAAGTCATGGACAAACCATCGGATTCTGGACAAACCGACCCGCCGCGTCAAGGCGACAAGCTTGAAGTTGTCCCCGCGCGGGGTTGTAGGCCCTGTAGATTGCTGCTGTTGCTCCTGATCATCTTCCTCCTGCTGTCTCCCTCCCTCCTCGTCGTCCTCGCCCCCTCTCCCTACACATCCTCCCTCCTCCCTCCTCCCGTTCGTCCTCCTCCTCCTCCTCCTCCTCCTCCTCGTTCTCCTCCTCCTTCTCCACTCGACCTTTTTTTTTTTGGTCTCTCTCTCTTCTCTCTCTCTCTCTCTTCTCTCTCTCTCTCTTTCTCACTCTTCCTCCTGCTCCGAAGCCTCCTCCCATACTCTTCCTACTCGATCACCCCTTCTTCTTCAATCTCCATTTTCTCCACATCCTCTTCGACGTCCTATCACCTTCGTTTTATCTGCTCACTCCTGCCAGCTGTCTTCCAGCTTGCGGTGCGTCCACTTGACCCCTCGTGCAGAACTCTGCCCCGATACGCGCAGCCCCGCAAGAGAGGCTCTGGTCCAGAGCATCATCCACCCTCTCCTCCCTTTCCTCTTCTTCCTCTTCCCCAGCCCCCTTCCCCTCCTCTCTCGAGGATCGAGGCTCAGCTCAGAGGTCTCGAAGAACGGCTTATGACTTCGGCCCTTCGTGAGCCAAGAACGGCTTTGGCCCCCCGTGGGCCGGCGATCGTCCACAGGCCCTCGCTGCCAGGATTCACGGAGCCGAGGTGGTCAACACGGCGCCCCCTCGTGCGTCAGCAACTGCCTGCCAATGCCGTGGCGTTCGGCCCAAATGGTCCCGCAATGTTATCTGAGGTCTGATGCCCAACCTCCTTCGGGGAAGCCGGGATGAAGTTGTCAAGATGATAGCGTCCCGCGGTGCTGGCGACGGTAACCGCCCTATGGGGTAATCCAGCGCGGCCCAGGTGGCCACTACGCGTAACTGCCCAGCAACGCTGTGGCGTTCCAGCCCCAGCCTAACACTCGCCTCTCTCGTTGGAGCTTCGGCAACCCTTCACTTCTGGTGCCGTACCGCTATCTGGCCAGTCTCGCCCTGCGCCCAGTTGCCCCTTCTCGCTACAGGGGGGAGGTGGCGTGGCAGTCAAGACGAAGGCCCCCGCTGGAGATGCTGGCAGTGCTGAGGGTCCCACGAGGAGGGCAGCCCAGCCCCGAGTGGCCACTCGGTCTGCCTTGCACGGCTTCGGCATTCCGTCTGAGCCAGGCATCCGTGGCCTTCCTTTGACGCGAGAACTTTGCGGGCCTCTGGCTTGGAAGGCCCGCTTGGCATGCCGTGATCTGCCCGCTTCGCTCACTTCGCACACCCCCCTTCTCCCCTCTCCCCTCTGCGCTCTACCTCCTCATCCTCGCTCCTGCCTCCTATTCTTCCCCTTCTTGCTCCTCGCTCCTCCCTCCTTTCTTTACTCCTCCCTTGTGCGTGCGGCATGAGCGAGGGAAAGGTTCAGAGACGGGGGAGGTAGATGGAGAGGTAGAGAGAGAGAGAGAGAGAGAGAGAGACAGAGGGACAGAGAGAGAGAGAGAGACACAGAAAGAGAGAGCGAGAGAGAGAGAGAGGAGAAATATATACATATATATATATATATATATAGAGAGAGAGAGAGAGAGAGAGAGAGAGAGAGAGAGTGAATGCCGAAGGGAGGACGATGTGGAGGAGGATGGGGTGGAATCGAAAGGGAGAGGGAGTGTGGGAGAGAACGAGGAGAAGAGGAGGAGGAAGAGGAGGCCAGCGTGGGACAGAAGAGCATGAGGAGGAGGAGGAGGAGGAGGAGGAGGAGGAGGAGGAGGAGGAGGGGTGGGGAGGACTGAGGATGACCGAGTGGGACGGAGGAGCAGGATGAGGAGGAGGACAGAGGGGCAAGAGGAGGACAGAGTAGGACAGCGGGGCAGTAGGAGAAGGCAGAGGAGGAGGCGGAGTAGCAACAGGATGAATAGCAACAAAAGCAAACACAACCCAAATCTTCGCAACCTCAGCACGCAACTGGCGTAACTCCGAGGCGCAGCCGTCCACGCCGGCAACTAGCTCGGAGTGGCGCCTCCTGGGGCTGCTGCTGGGAGCTTGGGACGCAACGATGCCAAAGGCCCCAGAAACGACGCGAGGTCGAGGATGAGGAGGATGAGGAGGACGAGGACGAGGAGGAGGAGACGGATGAGGGGGAGGATGATGAGGAGGATGTAGATGGTGCAGGCGACGATGATAGTGCATATGGAGAATGAAATGATGGTGGTGAGGGGTAGGCTTAGACAAAGGAGAGGGCGGAAGATGAGGAATATGCGGGAAAGTCATATTATGAGTAGAAAAAAGGGTTCGGAGGAGCACAAGGAAGAGGATCCGCCGGCCCCCTTGTGGGGCCATCAGGCTGTAGGACTAGGTTGTTGCTCCCTGCACCAGTTGCACAGTGTTACAGTCCTGCTTTCTGATTCCTACTGTAAGCTGTTGTTGTTGTTGTTGTTGTTGTTGTTGTTGTTGTTGTTGTTGTTGTTGTTGTTGTTGTTGTTATGATTGTTGTTGTTGCTGTTGTTGTTCCCCATATCCTAAGGATTGGGGTTCTTGTTCCCCATATCCTAAGGATTGGGGTTCTTGTTATCACTCTGACGCCTCCCACGCGCGGACTCCTTCCTCCCGCTCGCGCCTCCCTCCTCCCAATGATAATCACCAGATAAGACAAGACAAGATAAGATACTACAAGATAAGATAAGATATCACAATATATGATAAGGTAAGATAATATATATGACAAGGTAAGATAATCGATAAGATAAGACAGCCTATGGAGTAATAAGATAAGACAAGATATGATGCGATAGGATGAGTTGATATAAGATAAGCTAAGACAAGATAAGAGATTTCAAGATAAGATAAGATAGAGGGTAATAAAGGTAAGATAAGATAGGCCTCGATAAGATAAGATGAGACTCACTCTCACTCAGACTCACTCACAGTCACATTCACTCACACTCACACTCTCTCATGATCACAAAACGCTGCCAGGGGCATCATTTGGGAGCCCCAAGGGGGAGCCACCCTGGCTGATCTCACGAGCCCGTTCGCGCCGATTTTGGTGGGACGTCTCAGCTAGAATTGCCGTTTGGCCCCCCAACATGTATCTCTTGAGAGCCTCATGGTCACAAAACGCTGCCAGGGGCATCATTTGGGAGCCCCAAGGGGGAGCCACCCTGGCTGATCTCACGAGCCCGTTCGCGCCGATTTTGGTGGGACGTCTCAGCTAGAATTGCCGTTTGGCCTCCCCAACATGTATCTCTTGAGAGCCTCATGGTCACAAAACGCTGCCAGGGGCATCATTTGGGAGCCCCAAGGGGGAGCCACCCTGGCTGATCTCACGAGCCCGTTCGCGCCGATTTTGGTGGGACGTCTCAGCTAAAATTGCCGTTTGGCCTCCCCAACATGTCTCTCTTGAGAGCCTCATGGTCGCAAAACGCTGCCAGGGGCATCATTTGGGAGCCCCAAGGGGGAGCCACCCTGGCTGATCTCACGAGCCCGTTCGCGCCGATTTTGGTGGGACGCCTCAGCTAGAATTGCCGTTTGGCCTCCCCAACATGTATCTCTTGAGAGCCTCATGGTCACAAAACGCTGCCAGGGGCATCATTTGGGAGCCCCAAGGGGGAGCCACCCTGGCTGATCTCACGAGCCCGTTCGCGCCGATTTTGGTGGGACGCCTCAGCTAGAATTGCCGTTTGGCCTCCCCAACATGTATCTCTTGAGAGCCTCATGGTCACAAAACGCTGCCAGGGGCATCATTTGGGAGCCCCAAGGGGGAGCCACCCTGGCTGATCTCACGAGCCCGTTCGCGCCGATTTTGGTGGGACGCCTCAGCTAGAATTGCCGTTTGGCCTCCCCAACATGTAACATGTATCTCTTGAGAGCCTCATGGTCACAAAACGCTGCCAGGGGCATCATTTGGGAGCCCCAGGGGGGGTCCACCAGGGGCTTCATAGTCACCAAACGCTGCCAGGGGCAGCATTTTGGCTTCCCAAAGAGGAGTCGACCCGGGCCTCCTAGTCGCCAGACACTGCCAGGGGCACCATTGGGATTCAGACTCGCACCCAGACTCACTCATACACAAGCTCACTCACACTCAGATTCATTTCTTCAGAGTCAGGCACACACAGACGTACCCATACTCAGACTCACCCACACTCAGGCTCACCTAACCCAGACTCCGTCAGAAGCCAGTAGCGAAGAGAGCAGAGAGGAGAGAGAGAGAGAGAGAGAGAGAGAGAGAGAGAGAGAGAGAGAGAGAGAGAGAGAGAGAGAGAGAGAGAGAGAGAGAGAGAGAGAGAGAGAGAGAGAAGAGAGAGAGAGAGAGAGAGAGAGAGAGAGAAGAGAGAAGA